ATATATATATAGCACGCTATGTCGTGGGCTCGCGAATGCCAGTCGCCCCTGCATAGGTGGGGCGCCGCCAACAGGGTTTCCGACCCTCGCAAGGAGAGTGTTCACATCGTTTCGCGCACTCGTCCGGCGGGGGCCTCGTTTAAAGTGCTTGGCGTACGTTTTGACACTCGCCTTCTGATGCACGACGCCATTGCTGAATGCGTGCGCGAATGTGGTCGGCGCGTCCAGAACCTGCTCCGCAATCGTTGTTTTCACAGCACTGACAAGTTATTAATTTTGTTTAAAGCGCACATTGTGTCGGTAAAACAGTTTCAATCGTGCCTTGAAAACTTCTTCTGCACGCGCGTGACCTCTCGCAACACGGCCGCCTGGCGACGTCTGCTCAGCCCTCGTGTCGGCTTGGCGTCTCACCCTCTCCGGCTCTTCCGGGATTGGCGGCCGTGGCAACCTGCGCTCGCTGCTTCTTGTTCCCTTCCCTTGCCTCGCTTCGCTCTCCCTCTCCCTTCCTTCTCCCCTCCCTCCCCCCCTCCGCTCTCTCCTCCCTCCCTCGTCTATCTGCTGCTGGTCGTGTCGTTCGCCGTCTTCCGCCCTCCTTCCTTCCCCTTCCCCTTCCAGTCTGCAGTACTTTCCTCGAACGCGGGCTCCTTGTGGCCGGGGCGGCCTTTCAAGAGCGGAACCTACGGTTGAAAATCGTTGTTCCGTCTTCATCTCTTTGCCCTTTCTGTTCTTTCCTCCTGTCCGGCAACGATGCCATAACTCTACAGCGTGCTCGTCGTGTTTCACTGGTGAGATTGTTGAATCGCGGGGCAGTAAAAAAAATACATAAAACAAATAATAATAAAAAATCTTTCTCGAGACGTATTTTTTTTTTACTCCACTCCGGCACAGCAGATGACGTGACCTCACCACAGGATTAAGCAATTGCAGAGCAAGAAATGCAGGGCGCGGATACAAGCAAAACCAAAACGATGGATTTGCTCATGAAACGCTTGCAAAAACTAAGATTTCGCTTCCGGCCTTAAAGTGATTGCCAAACGCATAGCCAGAAACGAAGACAGGAAAGGAGAAACGGGGAGGAGGGAGGGGCAGGGAGGGGGGAGGGGGAAGGGGGGAGGGAGACAGGAGCAGCAGAACACAACAACGGAGGAGAGAGAGGAGAACGAGAAGGAGCGGGAGGCGCCGGACGCGCAGCACTTAAAAAGTCCCTGCCGCGTGCCACACAGCGCACAGGACCGGGGGGGAGGAGAAGGCGAGAAGGAGCAGGACCGACGGACGACAGCAGCAAGCAGGACAACACACGAAGGCCGACGGCGGAAGACAACAGCAGCAGACAGGGCGAGAGAAGGAAGGGGAGGGGGGAGGGAGGGGGGAGGGGGGAGACGAGGAGAAGGGGGGGGAGAGAGGACGAGGAAGCAGAAGACGTCTGCCAAGTAGCAAACTCAAGACCTTGGCCGCCATTCCCTGTGGTTCCTCAGCGGGTGGGACGCAAGCGGAAGGCGAGGCGACACAGACGACTCCCAATCCTCACACGCCCTGGCACGGTCCAGAACGAGTTGTTGCAGGCGTCTTTGAAACGGCGGCACAGCACGAGCACGGATAATGTAATGCGGGAGCAAGTTGTAAACCCGCGTGGTGCCAATCGCGGAATGCAACAAGAAATCTGGACTGGTAAATGGCGGCTCCACCGCGTGTCGTGCGTGGCGCAGGGGTGCCCGAGGAGGGGGCAGAGACGAGTCGAGGCGAAAGAAACAAGAAAAGCAAGCTGGCCCGAGACCTAAGATAGCACGATGAATGACCCCTAAGATACTGATGTCCCGGCGTGTGGCAAGCGGAGCAAGGTTAAAATGCACTAAGGCATCTTGTTTGGAAATGCCCAGAGAGCGCAGGAACCGCGTCTGGAGCGCATCAAGAGGGGCGAGAACAGAAGCTGAAGCGTTTCTAGATTGCACTGGTCCGGTATTCAATAAATGACAGAACGTGGGATTTGCACAGGTTCACAAGTTCCGCATCGTTGTAGAAGCGGCGCGCGCGTACTATACTAAGAATTATCCACGACGCCGCTGCTACGCAGCTTTCAACCGCATCAACCATCACGAGTTTTGGATCGAAGACAACACCTAAGATCTTAAAAGCATCGCCAGCAGGGCGAGTGCGCGACAATAGATGAAAATGTTCCTTGCTGGCGTCGAAAGTGACGCGGTTGGCGCGGCCCCAGGCGTGTAGGGAGGACTGGCACTCGCGGAGCTGCGCATATGCTTCCTCCGGGGGAATGGCCGCGGGAAGCGCCTTCCAGGCGTTGAGGTCGTCAGCAAAACCACTTCCTCAAAGTTCAAAGATTTTGTCGCCATGCAACTGTCTGCGTAATGACAATTCCAGAGCGGTGGGCCCCAAACCGTGCCCTGGTACGCCATATCGCGCATTGCAATTGGGTTGGACTCCTGTCCCCCAACCAACACCCGGCCCACGCGTGGCCGTAGCCAGCTCTGGAGCAAGGACAAAATGCAATCCGGCACACTGAAGGCACGTAGTTTCTGTAGCAAGATATCAGAAGCAACGTGGTCAAATGCCTCTGAAACGTCAGAACAATACAAAGCAACAATCATGCCTGCAGACAGCGCAAGAAGCCAACACAAAGTGAAATATAAAATAGCATCTCTGGCGCCATGCTCTCGCCGGTATGCGAATTGAAAAGGGCCGAACGCCCCAACACGCTCCAAGCGCGGTATGAACAAGTCGCCAAGAAGCCGTTCTACTACCTTAGAAAGCTGGGAAGTCAACTGGAGCCCTCTATAGTGGTCTGGGTCTGTAACAGCACCCCGCTTAAATAGAAGAAAAATCCAGTGTTGACACCAAATTTCAGGCCATCGCCCCTTCTGAAGGATTAAACGGGCGATCAGGGCAACAGGCACAGCGAGTTCCCGAGCGCAGGCTTTCAA